GTTGTCCTGGGTTTTCATTCTTCCAAGCAACTTATTCTTTCCCCCTCTACATGTTGTTGACTTTCTGCTACTGAAAGCCTAGTAGCCTTTGTCCTGATTTCACTGAGGATCCAGGAAAGTGGCAGTGACGGAGGCTCCCGCAGAGTGATTTTGCTTATTGCTTGGACTTGCTTCAGGTCAGCCCTGACAGAGGGATTTCATCATTCATCTGTATGAGGCTTCCAAGAGCATGTGCTGAGATGGCTAATCTGATTGTATGCTTCCACTGATACTGCTTATGGGTTGTGGTTTTTTTACAAGGCTCCAATATTACAGCCTGATACTCATTAAAAGCTGCTGTTTATCGTCTTCCTGCCCATTACATACAACAATATGAGCTGCTGAAAGACAAGAGTCATGGTATGTAGCTTCTTTAATTTTTTTTTTTTTTAAACTACTGAAAAAAAAGGCAACTTGGGTCTACACTTTTTAACAAAGAAAAACAAATGCTATCCGTGAGGAGTCGCTAGCTCCTTCCAAGACATGACCCCATTTTTCATAAAGTCACAGAATCATAGAATGGTCAAGGTGGGAAAGGACCTTAAGATCATCCAGTTCCAACCTGTAGATAGTCTTTCTTCCACTCAGTATTTCTAATCACAAGAAAACAAACCCTTCCCTCTCTTTTTCCCCAGTCCCAAATATATGCGGCTGGTTGCTGCTACCAGCGGTGTATCTGAACGCCCCCACTGGAGGTGGGGGTCTGTGAATTCACACTAGGGATTAGTAACCTCTACTACGGCTATGGCAATGACCTGCTCTTCTGTGTTAGTCACCATTAACTCAGCCTCAGAACACAAGGAGACCATATAAATCCTTTGGGGCAAGGAGTTTTGTTCTGTTTCACATCACCCTAGTGCAGGAATATTGTTTGCAGATGTTTCTGCAGAGCATACAATGCCAATTGGAAAAGAATCTGCATTTGAAAAGTTCTGTGAAAATCTTGAACAAAAGGTTGAATTTGTAATTCCTAAAGATTACGAAGTAGACCTCCAACTGGATTCACCTCTTGTAAAATGTGGGAAAAGACAGTGTATTTAGATTATTGCAGAGTTGAAGCACATGCTGCTAACTGAGATGCAAATAAGGAATAAACAATGACTTAATGCCATTCGTATTTCACAGAGAGCTATAAATATGGGGAGAAAGTTGCTGAGCAAAGCACTAATGCAGCAAGTGGTAGAAATTAATCAAGAGATAGTGCCACTTTTATAGAGTAAAAAGGATTCAGGAACAGACTCACCAAGAAAAGAGATGGGGCTGAGATCAACTGAATGGGAACAGACTTCTTGGACTAAGCGGCCATTCCCAGACAAATGCTATTAATGAACCTATATAAGAAGAGTCATCTTTCATATGGAGGGAGTGAACAGGATGAAGAATCATAGAATCATAGAATAGTTAGGGTTGGAAAGGACCTTAAGATCATCAAGTTCCAAGGACACCTCGCTCTAAACCATATCACCCAAGGCCTCGTCCAACCTGGCCTTGCACACTGCCAGGGATGAAGCATTCACAACTTCCTTGAGCAACCTATTCCAGTGCCTCAACACCCTAACAGGAAAGAATTTCTTCTTTATATCCAATCTAAACTTCCCCTGTTTAAGTTTTAACCCGTTACCCCTTGTCCTGTCACTACAGTCCCTGATGAAGAGTCCCTTCCCAGAGTCCTCAGAGGCCCCCTTTAGATACTGGAAGGCTGCTATGAATCTTAATGGTCTGTGATTTCACAAAGATGCAGTGAGCTAGATATGAAACAGAGATGCCAGGAGGCAGATGCTTTGGAGATACCTGCAAGTAAGTGAAGCCAAGCAAGCAGAATCCCTTGCAGCTCAAGTTCACCGCACAACCAGTATGCAGAAATGAAGTGGGAAACAAAGGTGACTTCAAAGGCTTTATGTATCTCTTTTCTGGATCTGTCCAGTGGGGTAAAGTGAAAAATTCTCTTTAAAAGATTTTGAGTTTTTGTAAAGGTCCTCATCTGAATCAGGATGAAAATTAAACATCAGAAAATGCTGAAGGTACTACAAAGCTTCACGGTGCAGATCAGACAAAACACTGGGTTTTAAATTGTGATTCTTTTCAATCTTTGTCTTTTTGCTTTACAAACCTTTTCAGCATGAAATAACTAAAATTGAGAAAATAATTTGCAATTTTTCCATACAGAAACTGTTGGAACTGACAATGTTAGCCATTTTCAAGCTGATGTAGAGGAATTTTAAATGGGGAGTTTGGGTGTTAAAAAACCCCAAACAATAAACAGCAAACCAATACTGTTGTAGTACATGATCCATTTTGGACAACTCTTCATTTTTTGAGCACAGACCAGGAATGCTTCTCTGGAAAATTTCCCAGCTATCACTGCTGGCTGCTGTATTGCAACAAATGGTGCCAACAGCCCAGGTTCAACAGCACACAGGACTCTCATTCAGTACCCATCTGACCTGGCCATGTCCTCTGAAGTACGTGCCAGCAGCGTATATCCCTGTGCCAGGGCTAATTTTAATGGGCAGTGCTGCCAAGGCAGTATGAAAAGGTCTTTGTTGGAAGGGAGCACCAGGCCACTTTAAAAAACACCTATGGAGGTATTTACACCAAAAATACGGATGTAAAATAATACAGGCTCAAGTGATTGCAGTTTACACTTGTCTCTTTAAGGTCAATGGCAACTAAACACATCTCCATCTTCTTTCCTTTCTATCCCAAGGAAGTAAAGCCACAGCTACTGTTTTATTCCTCCTTTTGGTCATGGTACCCTGACAAATAAATTGAAATGTTTAATTTCCTTAACTGGTAGTATTCTTCTCTCCTTTTTCTCAGGTTTGAGTGACTTTACAAGGCACATGGGGGTAGTGAAGAATCAAGCACTGCGTTCACCCAGCCTGTCAGACTGTTCTTGTCTTTCCACTTGCTGATGAATGTGTACCAAAGCCAATCGGAGCTGGCTGCATCAGTGGTACGCAATCTGTCATCTCAGCCAAGTACAAATGACCCATTTGTGTTGCACTTCAGAGGTTTCTGATGATTATTCTCTGTATCCTGAAAAGAAGTAAAACCTAATAACCTGGGAATGTGTGTGGTACCTGGGAAGGATGTCTCTGCCAGGTGGACGTGGCTGCAGCCAGGTCCTGCGGGGCTTGGAGAAATCTGTCAAAGGCAGATTCCCTTCCTAAATCCTGCCAAGGGGAAGGGCTTTCTGAACAGGATGACATTCCACCAGCGTCTGGCCACCACCAGGTTTCATTTTGCTGGGTTTTTTTTCAACCTGGTTTAAAACTGAAACATCGCATCCAACAAAAACTCAGCCTGTTTGAAATGCAAAGCTGAGAACGGGAAGGAGAGCCCTGCCGTAGTAGAGAGTACACTGCTCTGTACCCTCCGGGCTTGGGAAGGAGGAAAGAATTAATGGAACCAGGGAAACAGGACAATGATAATGTATGTTCTTCAGGTTCCCAGCGGTGTTTGGCGTATATGCTGCATCACTCCTGAACCAGCAAGGATCAGTGCCTTCAGCAGGGCAGTCATGTGGGGAACACACAAACCCTGATCACACCACCAGGCTCTGTAGCATCATTTCCACAGTTGATGTCTGTGCCTTCCCTTCTCAGGGAGCCCCACGGATTTGCTCATATAAGGTAAAGGAGGGTTACCTTTCCCCTGTCTCAGAAGGATAGAGTTGATTGTGAGGGAGTCACAGGAGCACAGACATAAGCTGGTAATAACAGGATCACAGGACTTGGAGATGAAAGGCTACCTCAAGGCAGGATCATAGATGAAACTGCATGTACATCATTCCTGAGAGGCACTCACTCCTGCCTGTAGTTAAAAATCACAGCTTATGAAGACTGAAGTTTTCCCAAATGATCTGTGCCACATCTCCACTGTTACTGTTAAAAGCCCTGTAACAAATGTCTAGCCTGAGTTTCTCCTTGCTAGATTTAAAGCTCATTGCTCCTCATACCCACAAAGAATATAGATGGGGCAGTTATTTCCTATTCTCTTTTTGTCAGCCTTTCTGTTTCTGAAGAGTGTTAACATGCTTCTCTTCAGTCTCTTCTTCCTCTCACTAAATGCCAGCTTATCCAGTCTTATAAACCATGTTTTCACAAAGCAGGCCATATTTTTTACCTATGTCTTCCTATTTCTCCTTCATCTCTGATTCCTCATCTTCTCTCTACCTGATACTTTATCTGTCACAGAGTCACAGAACAGTTTGGATTGGAAGAGAACTTAAAGATAATTTAGTTCTAACCCCCCTGCAATGGACAGGGATGCCTTCCACTAGACCAGGTTGCTCAAAGCCCTAAAACTACCAGGGATAGAGCATCCACAACTTCTCTGGGCAACCTGTGCCAATGTATCACCACCCTCACAATAAAGAAGTTCCTTATATCTAATCCAAGTCTAAATCTAAATCTGAATAATGTATTACTGAAGCAAGCAGCAGCTTATCTTCATCACAGCTCCAGGCAAGACAGCTGCCCTTGCCCTTGCCATGAGTTTCCTGAAGGCTTGCATGGTTTTTAAAATTTTGGTAGTTTATTGCAAGAAATAGAAAAAGCCCAAGCAGCTTCAGTGTGAACATTTGAGCTAGTCTGGGGTAAGTAAGTGTCAAGGTCTGCTGAGCAGATCACGTTTTTCTGGTCACAAGTTTGTGTGCAATTTGTGCTCACAAGCTTCATCGCTGAGGGGTACAAAGACAAAAAAGACCAGGTGTTGTTATGCGTCTCACATCCACAAACCAGTATTGTCACTGTTAACACTGGGGAGTCCTTCTGAGCTGAGGGCTGTCATAACCTGTTGGGTTTTTCTTTTTGTGGGGTTTTTGATGTCTTCATGCAGTAACCAGCTCACGAATATATTAAACAGCACTGGTCCCAAACACATGCAATATCTTCTGAACCCATGTGTTAAGATTCTCCAGCCACAGCTACTTACACCTGAAAGGCAAATTTAATATCTTAAAGTTAATCAAGGGATCTTTATTTATGTAACTTATTGCAAGATAATGAATTCTTGCATAATTTTTTACTTTAGAGGGTTAAAAAAATACTGTGTAAGAAAACTCCTGGTCTGGATATTGTTCTGTTCAGTGTAAAGGACAGATTTTTGGCATTCCTGGGTAATTCAGCTCTCTGGCAAAGGAGTGCTTCTTATCAAGTGCTCTGAGGTACAAGTGCCTGAGGGCTTGTTCACATGAGAAAATTCAGGGGCATTATTCATACCTCTCCACTGCAGAATATGAGTACCCACATGGGAATTCAGCAAGGGTATTTTGCTCTTGAAAAGCCCTAAGTACCATTATATAATTTCTCCCCAGCAAGGTAGCTATGGCACAGGTAATACAACACACCAGAAAAAATGCACCTGGGGACATCAGCAAAGACTGCTTTGTACAAAAGCAACTCTTGACTTGTGTGGCAATACATTTCTCTGTTTGAGATAGTTTCTTACCCCGAGCACTCCATCCCTACTTAAAAAACCCCACCCATTCTACTGAGAAATTAGAACCAACACAATGCCTGTACTTACCTACAGCCACCCACCTACTATTTTAATTATTGATATTAGTTCTACTGCACTTATACTTCTGTAAATGCGCCCTTACTCTGAGCACCACACTCAGACAGATGTTATCTGAGCAGCAGCTACAGCTTTTGGTAAGCAAGCAATGTGCTGACTGCTGATGGAGAGGGCTAAGGTCAGCTCAGGAAAATAAGAACAGAATCCAGGTAATATAAAACATTTTCACACTTGAAAAGATATTAACAAGACATGCTGCACCTGTAGCCATGAATTTCATTTGCATAGGACAAAGACAATCTGTGTTGTAAATGTAATACAATGGGTAGGAGGGATGGAAGAAAGGAAGAAGAAAACACAGGCTGCCTCATACACAGTGTTCCTTAACAGTGGCTGGGATGTGGCCTTTGCAGTTCTGCCTTCTGTGTCTACCCTGCTCTTTGTAGTTCTTGCTGAGAGACCCGAAGCAGGTGGTATAGCTTGGAGAGAGATTTCAGAGTCCTCTGGTGCCCAGCAGCATCCACGTGTGCCGGCTCAGCACACTCCTGCACAGCTTTCTGCAGCTGCAGCTGCAGGGGGAGAGAAACCAACGGCCCTCGGAGACTTGGGGAAAACCAGCGACGGAATATTTTGTCACAAATTACCTGCGGGAAGGAGAAACATCAGATTATTGTCTTTCAGGAGCTACAGCCAGTGTACTGTAGAAAATGTCAGCTGGATCCAGAATGCCTCCAGCCATTCAGGCAGGAAGGTGTAGAAAAGGAGCATCCACAAAGGATGAGGAACTGCTCTTCTTCTCAGACTGCTCTCACATTTCTGCATGACCAGTGGTGAGGGTGTAGAAGAAGCAGGCAAAAGGCCACCAAGCTATGGTCCCCCAGCCTCCCTGCTGTGCCATAGCCTTACACCAGCACAACCTGAGTGAGCTATTACACACCTCACCCTGGGCTAAGGACCCCATGGATTCCCCTTTCCACTACGTCCACATACTACATCTGTAATGGGGAGAATCACAGGCATTGCTTACACCTGAGCAGCTCTGACTTCACCATTAGTGGAGGCAGCAATGCTAATCCCCTTCCCCTATTTCCTTCACTCTCCTATCTGAGGCATTGGGCTACCAGCTACGCAAACCCAAAGAAATAAACACTAGTGAGTATAAAGATCTGTTTTGTGCCCCAAGATGGGATTTCTGAGGAGGACTGGCACTTAGGTGGCCACGATTAAAAATACACTATCTTCATCTCACAGTCTCCTAGTACATACCACACATTTTATAGTCAATGTGACTTTAAAAGAAATGGATTCATAAAGCAGCTGTGTCTACTCACTTGCAAGTTGTTATTCGCTCTCTGTGCTCCACATTTTCTGATTCTCAGATTGCACTTTGAAAAGCAATCAAAAAAATTACAGTCTTCATCTCCCGTGCAGTTCTGTTCGAGGATGTCCCTCATTTTGGGTTCAAAAAAGGCCATATCCACATCAATGGCCACCACCTGTGGATCAGAACAACCCATCAGACTTGTGGGACAAGGCTAAGCAAGCATTCCTTGCTGCTTGCTTTTGGAAATGCTGTGCTGAGAGCATCTGCCAGTGGGGAACTGGAATCACAGTGAATGGGCTTAATTTGCTTAACTGGGCTGTGCTAGTCTCATGAATGCTACTTTTTAAGCAAAACCAGCCAATGCTTATGACACCAGGAAAGGGAAAATGATTTGTGTCCAGTATGCATCCCTGAGGTCAACTGTGTTGGGACTTCCAACTTGAACATTAATTTACTTCTTGTTGCAGCGTGTGCAGATGGCACCTCAACATTTTAATTATATGTGATGGTGCAAAATTATCCACAGGCCAGATGGTATCATTTCATAATCCACCATTCCGACTAAACCCTTGACTTTACCACTGTGGAGAAGAGCAGTGGGATGCACAGAATTACCTGCATCTAGTACAGCTCCTGCAAACCTGCCATTGCCTTTAGTGGGTTTGAGCCTGTTCAGCTGTAGAAAGAGATCCCTGAGGTTGTTGAAAGTTGAGGCTGGCTTTGCCCTGTCCTGTTTCTATGGTTTGATTCATTTATTGCACACGGTTCTTGTTCTGGTTGTCCAGAAATAGAGCCCAGCCAGCAGTTGGTCTCAGCAGAAAAAACAAGGACTGAAGGGATCAACCACTTTTCTCACCCCAACACAAGGCTTGCTAAACAGTGAATACACAGCACAGAGAGGTCTGCAGGGCTGCTGCCCATGCGAGGTTCAAGACCACTCTGGGAGCAAAGGGCTGGAGCCTCGGTTTCTGCCAAGTGCCACTCCACTCATGAATACCTCCTCTAAAAATATCACAGCAATAAAGAGGGAAAGAAAGGAAGCCAGTAATGGGATGGCAGCTGCTTAATGTGAGACAAGCTGTGGGTGACCACAGTGAACACAGCTTGCCTTCAGTGCAATAGATGGATGCAGCAACCAGCTCTGAACCTAGAGCTGCACTTAACACTTGACAGTCAGGGACAGAGATGTTCCTTTGCAGCAGCAGACACACATCTTCATGAGGGGAAATGTCTGAGACCTGGGCAATGCAGAGCTACTTGGGCTAAAAGGGTAGTCCCATTTTTAGGATTCAACTTCCCATGTAACAAGGAATCTGAACTGTGTGGCTGAAGCATCTGGATCAACCACAGGAACAAAAGAGTCTGGACTGGTAGAAGGCCAAATGAACCTTTCACAGGCAAAAGAAAGAGCACAGTTTAATCTTCATTTTATTCTACTCTTTTCTCCCTGTGGAAAAACAGATGAGGCATAGCTTTAGAACGTATTTTTAAGCTTCTTGGAGAGCTTGATAATGACATAGCCTAAGGAATTTTACATGTTTGGGCAGGCAATTTCTTCTTTTCTTTTCTTCTTTACTTCCTTAAGCTCTCTGCAGTTTTGCTGTTCACTTCTTTGGAAGGTTTCTCCAATCCTCGGGTTGCTGCATCATCTCCAGGTGTAGTTTCTGCCAGCACCGAGCACTTTTGACAACCTGATTGATTGCTCCTCTAGGAAAACCAGCCCTGGTTCCCGAAAGTGCTGCTGCCAAAGGGTTCAGTGTTTTCACTGAAGTTCAACTGTTACAAAAATGTGTGGGCATGCAGCCAGACCCTGCAAAGATAGATTTGGATGACATTCTACCTATAAACAGCTATGTTTTGGTGGGGTTTGTTATGATTGTAATTGATGGTGAAAGTAGCTGAGGAAATGCAGGAAGGACCCAACCGATTTAGAGTCATGTTTAAGAAGCTGTAATCTTCCTAATAGAGCAATGTATTCACCCAGGCCTCTTCCTAACTCTGTAGGTGCATGGCAGCTTAAAATTCTCCTGGATGATCTACCAGGCAGTGCTCTCTCCCCTTCATGCTATAATAACAGACTGTAAAGGCTGAAGAGAGGGCTGGAGGCTTATCCCCTCCATTTCGGAATAATCCTCAAAGAAAAACTATTGCACTCCCCAGGCACATTTCTTTGAGCATTAGCAGACTCATTACTAGGATGAGGAATAGTGGTACTCTTATGGGTGTTTGTTATTATCCTATATAAGGCACAAGAAAGTGAAAAAATTGCTTTAAACAAACATGACAAAAGCCAGACTGCTTTGCTGTGTCCCCATTCTGGAACTGGTTGGAAAAATCATCTAGAGCTTCTGTTTCTCACTCTCCTTCCTTCACTGATCAGAAGGTCTCTCTGTCCCATCCTGACTGTGTGTATCTCCTGTCTCCCAGTCCAGCGGGGTGATAATGGGTGATACCAACAAGCTGTAAGTAATGTACAACTGGGAGAGCCATGTGTGAGCAGCAACTCACATTTTTCTTTAATTAGTTCTCCTAAAGTACTGAATTAGAACATTTTCCTATACTAGAAGGTGACTGCCGTCTCTTTGGACCCAGAACTCACAGGAAAATCCTGGAAGAGCAAGCCTTACCAAAAAGAAAGACTCCATAAGATACCATAAGGAAGCAGTTCATAATATACTATAAGGAAAGAGCCTTCCTAAATGAAGCCTCTTCTCCTGTAAGCAGGCTGTAAAACAGATGCTCTGGTGTGTGGTCAGCCACATGCAGCCACAGTGCTGCTTAACTGAAAAAGATGGGCAGAGCTTGCCTTGAGAAATCCCGGCTGTACCCTACCCTGCCTAAGTACTGGTACACTTGCAATTTCTTGCTGTATCTCCTCACATTCCCTGTTCTGCTGCTGTATTGCACCTGAATAAACAATGAGTGAGAAGAGAAAGGTGAAAGAAAAGCATTCTAATTGCTCCTAATGGCTGTATGTTTAAGCAATGTTTGTCTAGTACTCTGAAGATTATGTTAGGTTAACACTTGGTGAGTACTGGAAATAGCATTCACTCAGAGCGCAGAAACACCACTGATGTCACTGCAAATTGTGAGGCTAGTTCTAACACACACTTACTGCACAGCGTCCCCAATCCCTACACACAACTTCCACCGAAACCAGTGGAATTTCTGTCTGCATTGTGAGTGCAAGATACCTGCAGCAATGTGGTGCTGAGCTACATCACTACTTGGAAAACATGCATTGCTATTCAGGTCTGAGTTACAGCTGAGAAGTCAAAGAGTAACGGTGCCAGGGAGTTTCGTGTCACTGTTCTTGGATCATTTCCATACCAGATAAGCTGAAAACTAAGCACAAACAGGTGGGTTTGGATGGGGGAGCTCCTCTTGTGTCAGGACAGAGAATTCAGCCTTAACTTTCAAATTCAGTTTCTCTTTTCAGCACCACTCACTACCAGAAATAGTTGCTATAATTCAAATTACATCTTCATTTACAGCTTTTGAGATCTCGTTGCCTTCAGGAGGTATCCCTCACTATATCCAAGGGATCCTGTCCGTACCGGTGCCTTTGAGGAGGTGAAACAAACCAGAACTGAGCAAGCTGTTCTCAAAATAACCATCAGGATTTAGTGCTCGGAAATGTGGCTGCACAAACTACAAGAGGAGAAGCAGCAGAGAATAGCCCTTGTTGCTTGTAAATGCATTGGCTTTGCAAAACCTTGGCCAAAAGCTGTATAAGTGTCCTTTTTACACTTCTAGTGTCATTTACACTGGAATTTGACCTCACACCACTGCAGCACCACCTCAGAGACCCAACTTACTGTGAGATCATGCCTGATAGCGAAGTTTTCTGGTTTGATGTCACACAGGTGAAGTGGGTGGGAGAAATCGTTATCAAAATGCTGCACCATGTCCAGAAAGCTGAGTGCAATGTCAATGATGGCTCTCACCCTGCTTCTGCGGCCAGCAAAGGTGGGACTGACCACATTTTCCAAGGGAAAAAGAGTTTTGTGCCAGGCATGTCCAGCTGTGAGATACTCCACAGCATAGAAGTGTCCACAGGAGCCAATAATTCGTAGCACGTGTTTGCTGAAGTCCTGCAGCAAACTGAAGAAGATATATTCTTCCTGCTGGATCAAGGACCACATGCTGGCCACCTGCGCTTTCCAGTGTGGTCCCTTCCTCCTTGTCCACAGGGGCCCCATGGTATTGTTAGACAGTTCTAGCCCTAGGACGTTTTTGACCTCCAAGGCTACCATCAGCAGAAGCTCTGTTTCAGGAATATCTTCTGTTTCCACTTCTTCTAGCATGCTGAGATGCTGGTAGCTGGAGAAGATTTCCTTCTTGGACTTCAGGATGATGGGCTGGCCTCTCCAGTCAGCTTGGATGACCTTCTTACCTCTGTCATAGTAAAGGCAGTGTTTATACACCAGATTCTGTGCCACACACAGGTCCTCACAGAGGTCACCAGTCAGGGCTCCACTGCTGTAGTCAAGACACTGGAGAGAAAGAGCAGAATATTCATAGAAGGACCATATGTCCATGGACCACACAGGAGAAAGGCAAATGGCCAGAAACAGTTCTAAGCCTGAGAGGCTTGCAGGTGTACTGCAAGAACACACCTACAGCCACTGGTGTGCTCACCAGTGATTCGATGTTTTTCAGAAGTCTATAGAGACCTTTTACTAGCAGGGGTTTTGCTTCAAAACAGGGATTCTTGGGATGGTAAAGGATGATTCCTGACACACATGAATTCAGTGAGACAACCTTTGAACACACTTGGCTGTGCTATGTGAGATTCTGGGCTGTAAAACTTTAAGGAACAGGAGATAATTTCCAGTGTAATTCAGGAATTTTATGAGAGGTTTGGGGCAACAAAACTTTGACAGCCCTCCTTAAACTACAGGAAAATCCATGGGTAACTGGATTGCTGGGGTCTCACACAGCCCTGCATATTTTAGCCTTGCACTCAAGATTCCCTGAATGAAGCTGTAAGAACCTTCCTCTGAACTACCACGAAGCACAGAGGTTGTGCTCAGTCCTCTTGAACCAAGACCTTTCTGGATCCTTAAGTATATAAATGCTGTAGAAAAAAATTTACTTTTTAGTTCTTATATGTAATTATCAAAAGCGACATTTTAATATTAACTGCTTAAATACTTATTTTTATTTTAACTTAAAAAAATAATAATCAGCTGGTGGAAACATAGGAACTGCTGCTTGATAGTTAAATGGTCACTGCAAATTCACATAAGAACTGCAAGAAATCCCTCACCAGTCCTTCCCTTGACCCATAATTATTTCCATATCATCATTTCCAAACGCGTTAGCAGTCAATATATTCCTATGGGCATGCAGAAGTGCAGCTGCAGGGACTGCTTTGGGTGAACCAGTAGAGGGGATGAGCAGAGGTCCCTGTTGGAAGAAGAATAGACTGTGGTGATGTAGAAAGCCAAACATCTGGGAGGCAGCTTGACAGTGTCAGCCTTCCTCATTGCTTTCTAGCATTTGAACCTTCATTTAAACCAGCTGCCAGCTCCCTGTGCATGTGGAGCACTTGCAACAGCTCCCTGAGTCCCACCCTGATTGTGTGACTTGCTGTTATATACACAAGAAACATGATGACAAAACACAAATGATGCATTTACTTAGGACAGTGTCTAAGATGCACACCAGAGGAGCATGTACTGATGCTAGGCAGCATTCAGAGTCAAACCTTAAACAGGACACTGGGGAATGGGTGGAGGATTAAGTCCAAAATCCGGGAATGGTGATAAATTGACTAAAACTGCTTACTGAGGGCAGTTCAGACAGACATAAAACTTATTTATATGCTGATGATCTCATGGGCCAAATGAGAACTTTCAATTCCAGCAAGGAGAGCCAGGTAAGCAGTCTTTACCATGAATGCCCTTATCCTGAGTCCAGGGTGGTATACATGTGTGAAACACCTGCATCTGCATGCACATCCACATCAGGGTGGCCTAGCAGACTTACTGCACTGTCCACAGACTTCAGAGTACGCATGCAAATCCTCTTGCTTTTGAAAATCTATTCCTATGAATGTAACACAAACTTATGCTCCCCTTTTAAGGAGGAAATGTAGTTTCCCTGATAGCAGTCATTACTATCTGGAACTCTAAGTGCTTTTAGAAAAATTACAAACTGAAGAAATTTTGGGGTTTTTCTTTGAAGCATAAGTATAACCACATTTAAAATCAGTGCCCTCCTGTTGAGATCACAACCTAACTGCTCATCTGCTACAGTAAGAGAATATAGGACTTAGTCCTGCAATTGAATCCACATGGGTGAACACTTGCCCCTGTGCACAATTTTACTATGGTCCATCAGGTTCATTTTTAGATGGCCTACATGCATGGACCTCTGGCATCTAGAAGAATGCATGCCCAGAAGACCTGTAGTCAAACATGTGAACACACAGCTTATTTTGTCGTGTTGCCATCACATCAATCTGAATGACATTAAAAAAGCAAATAGTTGTGGAAAAGAGTTTCACATTTCCCAGACATAGGGGATGAGTCATTTTTGAGCCTGGCTGCAGTTTAGGACTTGTCTGCTGTTCCACTTGAGCCCATAAGTCTTTGATTATTAACCTAGTACCTAACAAACAAGTCTCTGAATTGGATTGTTCTTACACTGAATGTGTGCAGTGTTTTGCAAACTGCAATCTGTGAAAGGAGGCTTGATCAAAGATTTCCTAGTCCCATAATGGCAAAACACAGATTAGCCTTCCAGAAGTAACACTCTCTCCTGGTCACCAATACAAGCAAGAACTTCAAAAAGGCTTCCTCAAACAAGCAGGCAAGAAATCTGAACGATTTTTGAGGTGTCCCTCTGCACTCACAAAATGTAGTGAGTTGTGAGTCACCCAGTGGCTTTAAAAATCTCTTCACTCTTCCATTCATTGTAACCTAGAAAAGACTGACTGCACCTTCACATCCTCGCTTTCCCCCTCATTGTTCCAACTTCAAGTGTTTTATGTTTGCCACAAGCATAATACACTAAGTAAGCTTAGCTCCCTCCCACGATAATCCTTATTCCTGCAGTTCATGGATGATTTCTGTGGTTTGATTCCCTCCTTGCTTCTTCTCTTCATTTTTCCCGTCCTCCAGCCTTAGAAGGACAGACATCAGAATTGAATGCTGTTGTCCAGTGCTGCAAAGACAGCCAACAGCTCTTTCCTGCTTCTTCTTTTTGGAGACATTCTGAGATTATATCAGCCTTTTAGGCACAGCCTGTGCTGGTAGTTCATGTTGAAGTAATTATTTGACCCCTATGTCCTTTCTAAAGTCATAGAATTTTACAAGACAGTCTTCCATCCTATTGGCAAAGCCTGTACTCTGTGCTTCCCAGTATACTAGCTTGCGTTTTACTGTATTAAAACACATTTTGGTGGACTGACAAAGTTTAGCCAGGTGATTCAGATTACCCTGTTATAAAAAGATGGTCTGTTTATTATTTATCAACCTTTGCACTAACTGCAAGCTTCACCATACAAGATTTCATATCATCACGATCACTGCTGATAAAAAAAATCAATTCCCCAAAGAACTCTTCCAGAAATGGTCCTCCACACTATTATCCCTGTCTTAATGACTGCATTCTGAGTTCTGTCGATAAGGCAATTTTAAATCTACCTAATGAGCACCCTTTGAATGTCTTTAAGTGCCAGATTTTTAAAACTAAAATATGAAAGTGATACAAAGCCAAAAGCTTTATGGGAAAGCAGCTATACTGCACAGAAATGGAAACACAAGCACGCTTTAGACTTAATAATCTCTTTCAGTTTAATTTGGCTAGATAATTTTAAATACCCTTAGTGCACTTACCAAGATAAGTTAAAAAAAACTGGGCTTAAATCAGCATAAAAGTTTAAGTTAATGTAAACCCAGCTAAGGATTCATATAAATTAAAATAACTTACTGTACCCCTATCAGTCAGGCCTGAGGCTGAGTCCTGCCTTGTCATCAAGTACGTCTCCTACGTAAATGCAATACTGAGCAAGGCTTTGGAAGGCATCAGAATTAATTTATTTCTCTGGAGAAAACAGAAATTGATTGCTGTGATTTAGTGTGCTCAGAGTGAATGAAGATGAGACAGGTGTTAAGAAAGAGTAAGCAATTTTTTTGAGAGTTAAAGTTCATCTCTGCAAAATGCCCAGTGCTACTTTGGTCTTCCCAGTGTAGTGCACAGCGGTACAGATGTACATTTTGCCCAGAAGAAGGAAATAAACCTTCCAAAATACTGCTTGCAGGTGTATGCAACCATGCAGTTTTCACTCACTTGCTTAAAGTAGGTCATCTTATCTCCTGCTGAAAATATGTCAGATGACAAGTAAAATAGCTTCTCTTGGAAGTCAAATTTTGTTTAATAAAAGGCATGAAACTCAAGCCATCAGATAATTTGTTTCACAGATTAGTTGCACTTTCTACAACTGCAAAACTCATGCTGTACTCAGAGGATGTATAAATCCTTATTTTGGGGCTGTTGAAGATGAGCTCGTTTTCTGATCATTCCACTGAAAGGACAATCCCTTTCAAACATCATATGGGAAAACTTGCTTGCAAACCTTAACCGTGCTGTTGAAAACTCACCTATGTAAACAGATGAGCACAACAATCTCAGCTACTCTTCCTCTGTAAGGAGGGCCTGAAACTGAGCTGTCACACAGTGACAGAGATGACTTTGCAAGCTTGTGCCTAAACCTGATCCCTGTAAAGTCTTTTGAAGCCCTGCCTAACACTCTCCAAACTGAGAAACAGAGACAAGTCTCTGTGCATCTGTTTGCTGGAGGGTGTGATGGCAAGGTCCTGAAGTGCCCTGAGCTTGGTGGCTCTGTGCACCTCCACCTCTGTGCCCTTCCCATCCATGAAAGGAGCAGTCAAGATTCACTCCTTCAGCTGCAGTCCCAAGCTCAGCTGTTCTTTGAGATGGAGTAGAGAAAGTGCATCTCACTGCCATTAAAAACACCGCTGCCAGGACCACTGTCTATAGCTTCACTTCATTACACAAAATTTTAGGGAAGTGTACAATCAGTTTTTGCTTGTGGTAGTAATAGATTATATAGATTAGATTTAGATTTAAGGAAGGAATTCTTCAATGAGAGTGGTGAGGCACTGGCACAGGTTGCCCTGAGAAGCTGTGGATGCCTCATCACTGGCAGTGTCCCTGCTGATGGCAGGTGGATTGGAACTAAATGATCTTAAAGTCCTTTCCAACTCAAACCATTCTGTGACTCTATGATTTAACTTTCACCAGCATTCCTCCCTTCCCATCTAACCACTGGCACTACAAATATCTTAATTAAGAAACAAAATTAAACTCAGAAGTCAGACCCAAGCTGCTACTCTTTTTAAAGTGTTTCCTGCACGGTTCTAAATCTGGTATTTTTTCCTTTCGTTTTTTCTTTTTTTTTTTTTTTTTTTTTTTGAGAGAGAGAGAGATTTTAATGAATACTTACAAACCCTTTCTTAAATTTTTAATACCTACATCTTAAATGCCAGCCCCTGCCAGACGCAAAGGAGGCGTCACATGCTGTGTGGCATTTCTGAGAGGTGACTTTTGTACAAACACCTTTGCGGATAAATAAACACACACACACACATACACACACAAAAGCAATAAAAACAGCCCGGAGGAAGCTTTCTCCCCGCTTAGGAGCGTCCGGGGTGCCGAGCAGCCCTTTCCAAAGCGCTTGGGAAGCCCTTCCGCACCGCACGCCAGGACCGCCCGGCGGCCCGCACCTGCCTGTCCCCGGAAAGGCTGGTAGGGAGGCAGCCGCACAGCCGCTCCTCCCGCTCCTCCCGTCGGGTGCTGGGGTTGCTCCGGGCAGGAGGAGCCGGGCGGGAGCGCCCCGTTGACCGCAGCCCAGACGGATTCCCCCTGCCTCAGCCTGTCGGGCCGGGCAGCCCCCGGAGATGCCCCGCGTCCCGCCGAGGCACGTACCAGCCTCGCCAGGATCCGGTGGCTCTTCTCGTCCGTGCAGCGCTCGGAGAAGACGCTCCTGTGGAGGAGTAAGAGCAGGGCGCTCACCACCACCCAGCAGGCAGCCCAGAAGAGGAGGAGCACCAGGGTGCATCGCCGCCAGATTTTGAGCCGCAGCCGATTCAAGCCCGGGATGCCCCTCATCGTCGCGCCCGGGCTGGGCTTGCGCGGCCGCTTCAGCCGCTGCTGCCCCGGGGGGGCTGCGCTCCCCTCCCCGCACGCGTGTCCCGCTGCTCGCCAGCGCCCATCTCCCCCCGCCCGCTCCGGCGCCGCTCCCGCGCAGCTCCCCGGGCCGGTGCTGCCCTGACGGAGCCCCGAGCGCCCCTTTTGAATTTAAGCCACGTAGTTCCGCCGGCTTTTGTCTGCTCTCCCCGTGCCAAGCGGCCCCTGCAGCCTCCCGTCGGCTCCTGCCCGCTTCCCCCTCCCTTCCCCTTCGAGTTTCTCACCCGAGAATAAAAGGGGGCTTGAAGGGTGACGGAGGCGGCTGTGGGAACCCTGCCCGCCCCATCCAGGCGGCTGCTCGACCCTTGGAAACAGGCAGCCTGGAGACGGACGGTTCCTTCTGGTGAAAGCTTCGCCTCCCGTCAAAGGGGAGGAGGGAGAAAAACAAGTTGTTTATTCTGGAGCAACTTCTCCAGTTTTATCCGCCCGCTGCCGAAAGAGGAAGGCAGAGAAGTGCTTCAGGTGTTCGTTCACTAACGCGCCCCCAAGGAGGGGCAACTCCTTGGCCCTCCAGCAGCTTCCACAGCCTCCCCCGCCACCTTGGTCCCGGGGATGCAGGCTGGCTCCTGCCCGGCACTCCAAGACCCTGCTCCCTCCGCAGCCAGGGGTGGGGAAGCCATAGCAGCAGCCCCTTCCAACACTTTCCCAAAGCAGGGCAGGGTATACAGGGTCCCAGCGTGCTGGGGGAGATAAACTGCCTCCTGGCTTTCTGGAAGAGAGAGTATCCATGGCTATGAATGACCCTCTCGGAAAAGGGGTCAGCTCCACACAACAGTCTCTAATATATTCGACTTTGTTAATGTTTCTACAGAGTCAAAACCCAGATGTTTGTTCCTGTGTGGCAAATAAGATCCTGGCATCCTTTCCTCAGTCCATGTGTGGATGTTCACCACCTCTGTTTAGACCACCACACTCACTCTTTTCCCTTGACTACCACTTGACATCTCACCATCACATATTTTTCAATAGGAAAAATCATATTTTAAAGTACAGCCCCATGCAGTAAGGGTGTCTGATTCAGGTTTACCATCAGCTACAATGAAAAAGGACCAGATTAATCTTCTTTCCTGTGTACTGATGGTTACCTCAAGCTACTTGTAACCTCATAGCAGGAAGATGAATTGCAGTAAATGAAAGCACTTGGAAGGTAAATTATTTACCCAGATGAGTAAGAATAGCAGAATCTAGTGCACAGTTGAAGAACTGCAGAATAATTCAGTAGACTTCTTACAGAGTGTAAGTTGCTCTGGTGCACATTATTTTAGTGAATTAATTTAGTATTGCAAAGGGCAAGCTCATTGTTGAAGAGCTGGGTTCAGGGATCTATGCTCTGTACCATCATGTCCAGATTAATGAAAAATATCTGCCTGTACATGCTGTTAAAAATAAAGATGTGTCTAGTGACATGATCGACTTTGCCTCTCAAAACAGCGGGGGGAAAAGCATGAGTGCAGCAAACTTGCCTCTCTGCATGCCTTCTGTATGGTCTGTGCAGTTCCCCTCTACATGGCAGAGCAGGGCTTGAAATACAGCTTCCAAGTAGATGGCAGACTAGGGCAGAAAAGAAAACAGAAAGATGAAAAGTACCACTGAAAATCCTACAGCTTTCTAGAGCCTGGCAGTAGGGAAGGGATGTGAGAAGAGCAAAACCACTTTCATCTCCCAAAAGTCTCAGAAGCAGAATCATTATCACTAGCCACATCTTCCATCACTGGCGTGTTTTGCTCTCTCTTTCTGCAATCTCATTTCTTCATCTGCAGGGACTGCCTTTGGCCATTCTTTTAATATTTAATATTTATATTTTTAATATATTTCCTGGTCCTTTTACTGAGAGGAAACTTCCTCTGAGGCACTGATGATACAGGCTGGGTTTTGGGAATGTAGCAAGCCAGAAAGTCCAACTGGGCAACCAAGAACTGAAAATGTTTAGTCCTGTTTCTCAGCCTGATACAAAATACTGTCAGGGGCTGTCTCTGACCAGTTTTGGATGTTCATTTGGAAATTCCTAGGGCATGGAGTGGGGAAGGCAAGAGGGACAGTTGCTTAGCTTTTCATCTGTAAGGAGTACTAGCTACGTTTGAACACAACCAATCGTCACTGGCTGCTGCCTAGGAGGCAAAACTGCAGATCTTCCATGCCTATGTCAGGAACCATCCTGAGATGGACGCAGGTGTGTCTCTCATGGAAAAAGGACAAAGCCGGTGGGGGAGAATCAAGCATCAGGATATCTTCCTACAGCTTGGTCCTAAGCTGTCTGGGTACCAGTTTAGACACTACCAAAACTGTATCTGTTTTACACTTTGTTTTTTTCAAACATGGATCTTGACTTCTCTGTATGTCAGCATTCCCCAAAGGATATTATGCATGAGTATTTCATGTCCGTGAAATCCTGTGTATGTACCATTTGTTTTAATGGTTCTGAAAACAAATATTAATTACTCCTTTCTCTGAGCTAGGAACAAAAGATGGAGACTTCGGACCTGGCTAAGTGTCGTGTCTGAGCTGCTCTGATTGCTACTGAAAGGAGCAATCATGTTCCCTCCTCCTCCACCATCACTTCCCTGCTTCCCCCTTGGTCTCGCCTGCCTCCTCCAGTCCCTTCTCCCAGTGAAAGACATGTCTTGTTGCCCAGTGAGTTCTCTCAACTCATTGCCAGGCCAGAGACTTGTAAAGCTGTTCTTTGCTGAGATTATTTTCAGATGGGTTAGAAAGCCCCAAGGATGCCTCCAGGCATGGGAGTAGGGCTGCTTCAGGGCCAGGAGTTTGGGGATGCTGGAGGCAGAGCTGTCCCTCTGGCTCAGCTGTGCTGGATGTCTGCACCTTAAGGGTGCAATGCAGTCTTGCAGATAAGGTGATCTAGAAGGAAATACTTGCTGAAAGGAACAGTCCTGTTACCCCAGCGGTATGCTTCCACTGCTTCCCTGGGAGCTGTATCAGGGTAGTTAACCCAGCAGGCAGAACCCATAGGTTTCTGAGCGTGCTTTTCATTTCTTCTTAAGATACCAGCTAAAATTCACTGAATTTGGGGGGTGTAAGGTCCCAACATCCTTCTCTTTGATTTGTGAACAGCTGCTGCACATAGCTAGTGCAATTCTACCCTTTACATACAGGTCTGCTGCTTTAAAATTATGGAATAAAAAGAAACAGACTAAAAATATCTAGTTCTAATAAAGTTTTTAACAGCTTTAATTAATAAAAAAAAACCCCAAAACTACATGAAGCAAATGCAAGTTGCATGACACTCACACTAGACTGCTTACTGGTTTCATTTTATGGGAAATACTACAGGAGGCATTTGCATGGAATAGAGCCCTGCCTTCCCCAAAGATTTTCATACAGCATTCAGTCAGCAGAGAGACTTTGTATCTAGTTGTTCAATCTCTGACCGTTCAAATATCCCATTGACTTTAGTGGGAGTGAAGAGTTGGACAAGCCTGGTAAATGTAAGTGTGTGCACACCTACACTTATAGATGTACCTGCATATATATATATATATATATATATATGCACACATCTTCAGAATAGATCAAGAATTAACCCAGGAAGCATGTGTTCAGGGAAAGGTAAAAGCCTAGGTGCTTTAGGATCAGGGGGCTTAACCTTTAATAACAATCTGTTACTAGCTGAAAAATTCAAAACTGGTTTTAGATTTCCTTAAATTCCAAGGTTCTTCAGACTAGCAGAATTAGTTCTAGTCCATCCTCTGTGAAATATGTATCTAAGTGCCTCTCTGTCCCATAGCAATTTTCCTTTGAAAAAAAAACAAATCTGCATCATAGAAACCTTGCTTCCTATACATATTAAAATGTGACTTTCACGTTGCATTCTTGTATTCCTAAAGGAAGCTATGTTCTTGCTCTCATTTTAACTGAGAATTAAGCTTGATAAAAATTAATTAGTAGAAGTTGAATTAAAGCAAGTGACATCAAGGGCAGTAAAAATAATCCTGCATTAGTTCCTACTCAATTAAATTGCTGAAGCATTTGAATTACTGCTTTGAGCACGATGACAACGTCAAGATGGTCTCCTCTTCATGGCTGTGTTGGGGACATCACAAAATTACTCATCACCAGTGACAGTTCACAGCTGGAATAACCATAGGCTTCAGCAGGCAGGAGTGAGATGCCTTGGCAAGGCCAGGCAGAAGAGCCTGGAGTGATGTCTGTCTGTACTGTCCACCTATATGTGGGTTCAGCAGCTCCTCAAGCCAGGACCATGAGGAGTCCAGCCTGAGGAGCTGCTGAGCCTACTTTCTCACTGCCTCCAGACACAAACTGTGTTGCAAAGACTCAAGTTGTGTCAGGCTGTTAGTCCTTATTTTCCTGATTACTTAATTCTTTATGAGAGTTTAAGAGAAAGAAAATAAATCTGTCATTAAGAACCTTGGCACTCGAGTTAATGAAATATAAGACTGGTTCATTAGGAGTTATTGTTCTGTTTGATTGATTTCATCACCATCTGTCATTAGCACACGGTTGTCTACAGAAATAGGGTACATTTCAGTTCATCCTTCAGGGGGCACACACAACTCATTTATTTTCCTGCTAGAAGCTCAGGAAACTTTCAAGTCCTGTTCAAATCTACCTTGAAAATATATTTTAACATAAATATTTATTTCTGATTTCCTGTGGCAAAGCTGAGTTGCTGAAGAACATCACAAGGTTTGATGTAGGTTTGAACATGCACTATAAGCAGTTAAATTCCCCTGCAGAGTACTGAGTCTACCAGAGGAATCCAAGTGTATTTTCCCATTTTTGCCATTAATCAAAAAGAATATGTTGCAAACTACACACAAAAATTTTATTGCATCGTTGTGCAGCGAGTTTATTGGGCTACATTGCAAACCAGAAGCAGAAAAATGGCACAATATAGCATACAGAGTATAGCTTTGTGGACAGGGGAAAAGCCTAAAGTAATTCACTGATTTTAAATATATAGAATAAAAAAATTGTAATATATTTGTTCTGTTTGCTTTTTATTGTCAGCACGTATTTCTTAGGCATAACTGCCCATGAAAGCCAAAGATTTTTATTTTCTCCTTCCCTTTTACCACTTTCTGGATTCCACACTGTAAATTTAAATTGTCCTGTTCTTCTCATATATCCCCTTCCAATTAATCTCTTTATTAACCTCATGCCGGCTTTTCCTTGTCCTTTGGAAACAGTATTGCCTGAAGAAGCCAGTG